ACATTAAACGATACGAAATGTTGATATTTCGATATTTTTGCACACTCCAAGTCTTAAAGGTGCATTGTGTAACATTTCTGGAGGAGGATTTGTCACCTTTTTGTTTCTATGGATGTCAATTGCCAGCCTGGAATGTTCCACAGCGTGACATTAAACAGCTCTACCTTATATTTATTCAATTACAGGCGGTTTTATAGATCAAAAATACCTAGAAAAACTACATTCTGACTGTGAGCGTGGTCGCCTCTCCCCAGATCTGACCTGTAACTAACCAGACGAAGCAATAACATTTCCATGGAGAAAATCGTGAGACGGATCCTCCTCCAGAAAAGTTACACAATGCACCTTTAACGCTCTTTCTGACATTCATTGCGAAACCAGAGTATGTTTACAACACCTTGAGCGAAGCTGATTTGAGGTCAAGTACACAAAGAGTTAATCCCAAAGAAATTAGCTGGATTATTTACCTAACAAATTAGCTGTAATAAAACACAATGTAATCTGTTTTAAATCCAGAGTGGTGCTGCCAGCAGACAAGCGCGCGGGCTGGCTGGTAGTGCTTTGCTCTGTGTGAGGTCCACGTGTAAACAACAATTTGGAGATAGACAGGCACATCATTCCTGCTCTGGTATCAACAAATTAGCAGTCTGTCGAAGTCAATTAGACCAGCGGACTCAAGGCCAACACATGGACGCCTCTCGCACTTTGCTTATGTTGTAGCACAAACCAACTCTATTTAAAAACATTTTCTCTTCACCAAAATCCTCAACAGGTGGTCGATCTTTTAAAAGTCCTACACTGGTATTAAACGAAATTGACTCTTGTGAGGTTTAAGACGTGTTAGAATGTTGTGGCCTCGTTAAAAACATATCTGGAGTTGGTTTTGTTGTTTATTTCTCCAAAGCTTAAAATGCTCTGCTCCACCTTGTGATGTCATGCTGCGGTATTTTTTTTTTATTTTAGTTCAGTAGAAATGAGCAATTCCAGGGTTAAATTATCCAAATGATTCTAGTGAAGGTTAGTCTGGTTTCACTTCATGGAAACCATCTGACCTCGCAGCATTAGGATTCGTTCGCTCGACAGTAGGCGGGTACTTTTTTAATTTAACTAATCGCTGCTATTTGATTGTGACGTATGTAATGCAAAAACGGCAATAACGTCTTTCCCCTTGATAAAATTCACCAAACATTCTCTTTGTTCCGGTTTTAAATCCTCAATCTCGGGAATCGTTGCCAACACAGAATGTCTGTCTTCGTCTACAAACATCTCGACCACTTTGTTTACGCTTGAGTTTGACGTCATGGCTTCAGAGCTCTTCGCTGATTGGTCGGAGCGTGGTCTACAACTTCCGGCGTTCTTACAAATCGCCTAGTGTACCATATTTTACGTGCTATTAGGCGCTCTGGATTATAAGGCGCACTGTCATTAACTGGTCTAATTTTGAACTTTTTTCACAAATAAACCGCACCGGACTGTAAACGAAACACAACAGTTGGATGGGTCAGTGGGACTTTGTTTGTGGTGTTCACGGTGACTCTGGGCTTTGTTCAGTTGTGGCGTGTAGGGAGGCTGCTGTCTGGGACCGATGGATTGTCGGCGTGTTCGCAGTGACTCAGTTGTTCAGTCGTGTCTAGAAGCGGCACATTGCACTCACTTTTTCGGTTCGTTCCTCCGTTCCGTTCCTCGTCGGCGTGGAGTGATGAGTGTGTCTGTGGGTGTTTTTCGCTGTGCGGTCGCTGTCTGCTCCGTGTGTGTTTGCGTGTTTTGTGGGTGATGCGACTTTGTAGTTTACTGAAGTCGTGCTGGGACACTCGAGTGGATTCGTGTATGGGACGCTCTGGATTGGCGGGCGCGCGGTCGTTTTTTTGATGCGGTTAGAGGCTTAAGAGCGCGTCTAATGGCCAGGAAAATACAGTATTCAGATTCCTGATCTAGTTGCTGGAAAGAAATGAAATTGAGCGGAGGCACTAGGTGGCGCCAGACTGTCTAAATGAAGGTGTATGGAGTTTAAAAACACAGTGGAGCACGACATGACAAGGTGGAACAGAGAGTTTTCCGTTTGAGAGAAGAGCTCAGCCTAAATATGCAGGTTTGCGTGTTAAAAATGTGTGAATGAAACAAAACTCCAGGTCTGTTAACATTATAACGTAGATCAGAAAGTAGCGTAATATGGGCCCTTTAAGAGACTGTCAATCCAAACGTCTAATCAGAGTCTATTTAACTGGACCTAGACCTTTTTGTAGCCTGACTCTGACCCACTGTGTACGAAGTTCTGGTCTGTACCCACGCTTTGTACAGTAACACCATGTTGCTGGGTGAGAAAGCCGCCCTCCTGCTCTAAAGTGCCCATTGATTCAGCGTGGCATAGGTTGGCACACTGTCCACATAGTTGCATGTGTGTGCTCTCAGCCGTGCCCTGTGTCCATATGTTACTGGGATGGCTTCCAATGTTGCCATCACCCAGGCCAGAACAAGAGGAGCTTTATTTGTTGTCATTTGCTACATCTCACTGAGCGTGTTCCTCAAAAGCAGAAAAATCTCGCTTTCCTGGGGACACGTACAGCAGTTCGGCGTTTTCGTTAGGGGTCCGTCACCTGCTTGTTTCCATGGATATGTCACAGGAATGTTCCACGGTGTGACATTAAACAGCTCTACCTTACATGTACTTAATTACAGGTGGTTTTATATCTTAAAAATACCAAGAAAAACCCGCATTCTAACCTGCAGATCTGACTTGTAACTTGGTCTGGTTTGGTTTCTATGATGACGGAAAGATTTAATACCATACTGTGAAACTTTCCAGACAAAGCAATGGCGTCTCTATGGGAAAAAAGCAAAAAAAATGACAAACCCTCCACCAGAAAGGTTACACAATGCACCTTTAAGGCATAATAAGAAGCAGTGGTCACTAACAGAATAATATAACGGTAATTAAGTTAGTTTTGTGAGGGGGTAGATGAGCACTTCAATACATCCCTTTGTTTACGAATTATTGGTGATATATGTAAGAAACTAAATGAAAAATTAAATAAAAACTGTTGTGAGCAGCTTCATGGAGACTGGGAAAGAGAAGTCATGGTTTAGGCAATACTGAGCTTTAACAAAACACTAGCCCTTGGGGAATAGGTGTCTGTTGGTTGGCAGGGGGGCACTGGACACACAGCCTCTCAAAGCCATTAACACTTGGACAGGATTGGTGACTGGGGGAGAATGATGTTCTCCAGCTTCTCCCATTAGTGAAACCAACAAACACAATAGTGTTGTTGTTATTCTTTCTCCATAATCAGAAAGGCCTCTGTGTGTGGGCAGTGTAGTGGGGAGGGCAGTGTAGTGGGGAGGAGGAGAAGTCGAGTCCGTCCTATTCAGTTTCCCCCTCTTATTTGCATGACTTGAGCAAATTAAATGATGCAATATGGCTTTTTGTCGCAGCACAAAGTGAGCTACCACCCAGCCACTGAATGATTCCAGGAGTGGTTTACATGAGAATGGCACGGGGAGAATTTTAATGGAAACCGCGTTTGTCGCACACTGTCGTTTTTCTCCTTTACTCATCCAAGCTCAATGGGCTTCAACCTCAGTACATGACATCACGTGTTGTGAATGCTTAACAGTGTTCGGTAAAGACACGCGCATCTGCATATTATATTCCCTGTCAAACCTTCGGGAGAACAGAAGTCACAGATCTTACAGCTCAAGTTTTACGCACAGAGTCGCGCACATTAGAACCGGACCATGTGCCAAATACGCGATAAACAGAAAGCACTTAAACGACAACCTGCGTAAATCCAGCTACTACTATTGCCAGAAACATTCCGTAGTCACCAGTGACAGCTCAGTTTTCACTTAGAGAGTGATGATATCGTAAACAGCCACTTCCATGGCAACACTGAAGCGCAATGATCATGTTGAACGTAACATTCAAAACACGTTGTAAACACGTTGTAAATAAACGACCACAGACAAAACGCTATGTTGGAAATGAAGAGTTTAACCTGCTCAAGACAATATTTGTTTGCGGTTAGGGACATAGCCTGACAGCGGAGGGAACTTTCCGCAGACTCCTGCCTCACACAAACCCAGAGGAATGTTAAAATAAAGCGTTTTTGTCTCTCGTGGAGACACTCGGAAGCGACATTATGTCCCGTAGCCTCAGGGCAGTTCCTCCTGACTATACCCGTCATTTACGCGTGAGCAATAAGAGTTCGAATGACAATGCACAATGGCTGTAAAGGCATCCCCGAGGCGCTCAGCTCTTAAACCAGACCCCCTCTCAATGTAAAGAATGCCAACGTGGTGGAAAGCTTTGGTGCACGTACCCTGGCATCCCTGCGGTGTAGGATCTGGTACGCGGCTCTCCTGGTGGGGCAACACGACACGCGGGGGTACAACCTGTGGCAGACCTCTCCGCTGCTGCCACCGCTGCCGTCAAGCAGCACTTTTCTCTCCCTTTTCTTCAGCCGCTTGGGCACGCTTCCGTCGTAACAACGTCTCCTCCTGGAGCTCAGCTCGCCCCTCTCGCCGAATTTTGCGTCTCCACATTCCCACACGTTCACCGCGATAGCCAGGACCAAAACAAATTGCAAGTGCTTCATGGTTTTAAAATTGAGAAAAATAAAAGATTAAATAGGCCACAAAAATAGTCTTTTAGAAATATAAGAAAGCTAAATTACAGATGGATTACCGATGGAATAAGCAAAGTGTGAGAATATTCTTTAAAGAAATATCAAAATAAAATACTACAAATTATAAATCAGCAGTCCTTTTGAGGGTCTGAAACAAGTGTAATAGAATAAATAGCTTATCTGCTGATTTTAATACTGCAGCGTGGTTGGCGGATAAAGAATTCAATTAAAAAGAAACCAAATGTATCCTGAAGGCAATGATAAAAAGCAAAACTCCGTAACGTTCCCTCAGACGTAATCCCTTAGCTCAGAGCGCGACAGTACGTTCGTGCACGAGTCAAAATATCAGAAATCAAAAGTTGTGTCTCACTTTAGTCCTCAGTGCGCTCACATGTTTCCCCGTGCTCTTTCCTCCTTCTTTTTAACCAGCGCGCGAGAACAGGGGCGCGCACGGTGACGTAGGGCTGGAGTAAGCGGGAGCGCGCACGAGGGGCAAGGTTGCGTCCGCCGAGGTGCGCGAGGACACCTCACCTGCGCGTGGGGCGTCGGGAAACGGACGACGGACGCACGGTGAGGCGCAAAATCACGGTGAAAGCGTGACAAAAACAACAAAATAAACCCACTAACGCGTAAATTCATTAATAGACTTTTATATTTAATTGGCTGTTGGTTTGTTTGTTGACCGTGTTCCAGTTTTGGGCTTGGAGCTAGCACGGAAACGGTAAAACTGGCTAGCTACGTAATACGGGCCTAATAGTTGCCACAAAACGGAAAATCTGTCCACATAAAATGTCCCTGGCCTACATTTTGCGTGCATTGTGTAACTTTTCTGGTGGTATCAGCATGGAGACCAAACCAGACCAAGTTACAAGTCAGATTTGTGGAGAGGCGACCCCGCTCACAGTCAGAGTCCCCTGTTTTTATGGGTGTTTTTGAGCTATAAACCCACTTGTAATTGAATAAATGTAAAGTAGAGATGTTTAATGTCACACTGTGGAACATTTCAGACATATCCATAGAAACAAGAAGGTAACGGACCCCAAAATGAAAAGTTGGAGTGCGTAATTAACATCCACACACTATTTTCATTGTTTTTATTGCCAAGTGAAGTTCTTGTTAAAGGATCGTTGTGTAACTTTTCTGGTGGAAGGTCCGTCAAATGCTTTTCTTCATGGAGATGTTATGGCTTTGTCTGGAAAGTTTCAGAGTATGGCATTAAGCCTTTCTATCTTCATGGAGACCAAACCAGACCAAGTTACAAGTCAGATTTTTGGAGAGGCGACCCACTCACAGTCAGAATCCCATTTTTTCTAAGTATTTTTGAGCTATAAACCCACTTGTAATTGAATAAATGTCAAGTAGAGCTGTTTATTGTCACACTGTGGAACATTCCAAGCAGAGAAATGACGTATCCATAGAAACAAGAAGGTAACAGATCCTCAAAATGAAAATCTATACACAATGCACCATTAACAGCCACACACTTATTTCCATTGTATTTATTGGTTAAACACTAGATTTATGTAGCCTAGTGAAGTTCTTGTTAAAGGATCATTGTGTAACTTTTCTGATGGAAGGTCCGTCAAATGCTTTTCTTCATGGAGATGTTATGGCTTTGTCTGGAAAGTTTCACAGTATGGCATTAAGCCTTTCTATCTTCCAGACCAGACCAAGTTACAGGTGAGATCTGTGGAGAGACGATCCCCCTCACAGTCAGAATGTTGTTTTTCTGGGTATTTTTGAGCTATAAACCCACCTGTAATTGAACAAATGTAAAGTAGAGATGTTTAATGTCATACTGTGGAACATTCCAGGCAGAGCAATGACGTATCCATAGAAACAAGAAGGTAACATGACCTAAAGTTACTTATTGCAACTTTGAGGAGATGTTTGAAAATTAGTTGGATTCAAATTGACCGTTATACTGACCAGAACTGTCTACATAGAACTAATAATCAGGATTTTTTTTCTTTTAGACAACTGCCTGGTAATGAGGTATTGTGAATCGTTTTATATATTTTACTCTTGTCTATCCTTCCCGATTTTTAAAAAACTTAAAGTTGCACTGTGTAACTAGTTGGGGCTACGTCACCTACTTGTTTCTTTGGATATGTCGCTGTTTTGCCTGGAATGTTCCGCACTATGACATTAAACAGCTCTACTTTTCTACATTTATTCAATTTCAGGTGGTGTTATAGCTCAGAAATACCCAGAAAAACCCCATGAAGATAGAAAGATTTAGTGCCATACTGTGAAACATTCCGGACAAAGCAACAACATGTCCATGCAGAAAAGCGTTTGACGGACCCTCCACCAGAAAAGTTACACAGTGATCCTTTAACAAGAACTTTAAGGAGGCTAAATAAATCTAGTGTTTAACCAATAGCGCTACTTTACATTCATTCAATTACAGATGGTTTTATTGCTCAAAAATACCAACAAAAACAGAATTTCTGACTGTGAGCGGCATCGCCTCTCCACAAATCTGACCTGTAACTTGGTCTGGTTTGGGTTCCATGAAGATAGAAAGGTTTAACTCAATACTATAAAACTTTCCACACAAAGCAATAACATGTTCACGTAGAAAAGCATTACACAGACCCTCCACCAGAAAAGTTACACAATGATCCTTTAACAAGAACTTCACTAAATCAAGAGTTTAACCAATAAAAACAATGGAAATAGTGTTTGGCTGTTAATGATGCACTGTGTAACTTCTCATTTTGGGGTCTGTTACCTTCTTGTTTCTATGGATACATCATTGCTCTGTCTGGAATGTTCCACAGTGTGACATTAAACGGCTCGACTTAACATTTATTCAATTAGAGGTGGTTTTATAGCTCAAAAATCCCTAGAAAAACAGGCATTCTGACTGTGAATGGTATCGCCTCTCCACAGATCTGACCCATAACTTGGTCTGGTTTGGTTTCCACGTGGATAGAAAGTTTGATGCCATACTGTGAAACTTTCCAGACAAAGCTATCACATCTCCACCAGGAAAGTGACACAATGATCCTTTAACAAAAACTTCACGAGGCTACATAAATCTAGAGTTTAACCAATAAAAACAATGGAAATAGTGTGCGGCTGTTAATCGTGCACTGTGTAACTTTGCATTTTGGGGTCCGTTACCTTCTTGTTTCCATGGATACGTCATTGCTTTGCATGGAATGTTCCAGAGTATGACATTAAACATCTCTACTCTACATTTATTCAATTACAGATGGTTTTATAGCTCAGAAATGCAAAGAAAAACAGACTTTCTGACTGTGAGCGTGGTCGTCTTTCCACAGATCTGACCTGTAACTTGGTCTGGTTTGGTCTCCATGAAGATAGAAAGATTAAATTCCATACTACGAAACTTTCCAGACAAAGCAATAACATCTCCACCAGAAAAGTTACACAATGATCCTTTAACAAGAACTTCAGGAGGGTGCATAAATCTAGTGTTACTTTAACCAATAAAAACAATGGAAATAGTGTTTGGCTGTTGAAGGTGCACTGTGTAACTTTTCATTTTGGGGTCCGTTACTTTCTTGTTTCTATGGATACATCATTGCTCTTCGTAGAATGTTCCACAGTATGACATTAAACAGCTCTACTTTACATTTTTTCAATTACAGGTGGGTTTATAGCTCAGAAATGCAAAGAAAAACAGACTTTCTGCCTGTGAGCGTGGTCGTCTTTCCACAGATCTGACCTGGAACTTGGTCTGGTTTGGTCTCCATGAAGAGAGAAAGGTTTAATACAATACTATGAAACATTTCAGACCAGTTTAACGTACCTTCCACCAGCAAAGTTACACAACGCGCCTTTAAAAAATTCGAGATAACACACCACCGCTTACTACTACGACAAATCCTCGATCGTTTTCCTCTTCTAAAATGTCATGTGATAACAATTGCGGGGCTTATGTCCACTGCGAAGCAATTACTGGCAGAGCAGCAGCCCTCCCGATCTGGATCCCGCGCTGTGTCCCATTAGCGGCACCTGTTGCGACTTGGGGGTCTCCCAGCTCAGCTTATCAACAAGAATCTGGAGCGGCCGGGACCTGGGAGGGGTCGGTTTGATTGTGCGCAATTATGGAAATGACCGTTCACTATGAAACTATTGCAGACGCTACGAGAGGGTACCCCCCACCTCGCGCATTCCTGGCGTTTTTTTCGGCCGCGGGACCGAGTACGGCGAGGCGAGAACTACCGCGGTAATGTGGATGCGCAGGGAGGAAAGGAGCGGGGCCGTGCGTAGTGAAAGAATCGGCCACCACCACCACCACTAGGGCTCGGAGCGGGTAACAGAATATATGTGCATTGTTGAACAGTGTGAAAACATGTGGGATGCAGCTGTGCGGCGGAGAGGAGCACATCTGCTGAGAGAGAGGGACCATTAAGCGGACTCACAGTTGGGCAGATGGAGATTGGAGCTGACAAAAGTCCTCTAACAGATACACTTGACGAAATACCAACATTTTAATAGCATTCTTAGCATTTTATAACAAAACTGTAACGGCTCGTTTTACAGGTGATTTCTGCTCGCGGACGTTTTTTGCGATTAAGGTGCAACAACCAGTGGTGTACTGGGGATTTTTAGGTGGGGGTACTCGAGTTGTGACTGAACCAGGAGGAATAAACCAGGACTAATCTTGGACTAAATCAGAATTGAACCAGGACTGAACCAGGACTGAACCAGGACTGAACCAGGACTAAATCAGGACTAAATTAGAATTGAACCAGGACTGAACCAGGACTGAACCAGGACTGAACCAGAACTGAACCAGGACGGAACCAGGACTGAACCAGGACCGAACCAAGACCGAACCAAGACTAATATTGGACTTGAGAGAGACAGGACCTCGAGCCTGTGGAGCAGAGTATCTGCAAAGCGATCAGGTGATGCCTGTGTTTAGCTTCGTGAGGCGCAGACCTCTGCACCGGTCCTTTCACCTGCGGTCACCCGACGATCTATGCGAGCGCACCTCTGGGCCTGTCCTGACACTCAGTCCTGGTTCAGTTCTGGTTTAGACCTGTTTTAGTCCTCCTTTAGTCCTGGTCCAATCCTGGTCCCTCATGTCTCAGGTCACTATAGGACAGTTCTGCAGATATCATGAGCCTATGCAGTTTGTTTTCATCATTACCAATAGCTCCAATTTGACATTGAAGTTGCAGGATTTTTTAAATATTTGTTTGTTTTTTATACATTACGTCAGGAGAAGTGGGTGGATGGCGTACCCCCACGGACCACGCCCACTACACCCCTGGCAACGACTCAGCTTGTTCCAATACTGATATCGAGACTTTGACTTTTGCATTGGGTGGATATTTCTCTATGGAGATGTTATTGCTTTGTCTGAAATGTTTCACAGTATGGCATTAAACCTT